GGCAAAAATATGAAAGAATCTATAGAAGCTGTCAATATGTAGCCCAATCTCTACCCATGATGAGAGAATACAGCTTATATATTTTATAGTAGGGCACTAAATTCAGGAACCATGTATTTCAAAACTTTTTAGTGATTATCTCAGAATTCTGGGTTTCTCTGTGCTGTACATCCCTAAATTTTTTGCATAGGTATTATTAATATATTCATTATTTTTAAAGATGGACTGCATTCTGTAAAAGGCTTTTCTAGTATCTGCAAATCACATAATTTTTTTCTTTATTATATAAAATGATTTCCTAATATTGAGCCAACCTTGCATTCCTAGAACAAACCTCAGCCATGGCATGTTATTTTCTTAATGTGTTAATGGGTTTACTTGTTAATATTTTACTTAGTATGTTTTCTTCAATATTCATGTGAAATTGGTCCATAATTTTTATACTATATTTTTCAGGTTTAGATTTTCACTCTTTACTTGCATCATAAATATAATTTAAGTCTGTTTTCATTTTTAATGATCTAGAACAATTTATTAAGCGTCAGATCTAGCTAGTCTTTGAAGGATAGCTTCTGATGTGAAACCCTCTCAGTCATATGCTTTTTTGTGGGATAATTTCTGGTAACTTCCTCTATTCTATGAAAATGATCTTTTCAGGCTATTTATAATGGGTTCCACTTTGGTAATCTTTGCCTTGGAAATTAACTATTTCATCAAGACTTTCAAATGTATTTGCCTAGAATATGCAATGTAACCTTATGACTTTTAAAACAAATTTTATTTATTTTATTTTTTTAGAGACAGGGTCTTGCTCTGGACTGGAGTCCAATGGTGCAGTCATAGCACACTGCAGCCTTGAACTCTGGTCTCAAGGAATCCTTCCACTGTAGTCTCCCAACTAGCTGGGACTACAGGCATGTACCACCACATGGAGGTAATTTGTTTGTCTATTTGTTTTTTGTAGAGACAGGGTCTCTTTGTTGTTCAGGCTGGTCCTAAACTCTTATCCTCAAGCGATTCTCCTGCCTCAGCCTTCCAAAGTGCTGCAATTACAGGCATGAGCCACCATATCTGGCTTCCTTATGACTTTTTAAACAGCTTTATTGAAGGAAATTGATATGTAATGAACTGCATACGTGTACAGCTTGTTCAGTTCTAACATGTTTACTTGTTAAGTTCTAACATTTTCGTCATGTCCCTTGATAATTTCTCCCACCCTTACCTGCACTCTTCTCTGCTCTCCAAGCAACCTCTATTTCAGCCTTCTGTTGCTAAGGTGAAATGAATGAATTAGTTAAAAGGTTAGCTAATTAAACCATTATTACTTAATACTTTAATCTTGGGTGTTTTACAGTTAATCCAATGATGAAAAATTGGCAGGGAAGGCCCTCCTGGATCTCCTTGAAGGGAAGTACCTAGACCACCCAGAATTTTTGTAGATTCCTCTGAAAAGGATGACAAGTTGTCTCCACCCATACTCCCATTCAGATCATTTTTTCTTTTATATTTATAAAATATAATTTATTTAATATCTCTAACTTACTTTCCTGTTTCTTGTTAACTCTAGAAAAGTATAACTAGCAGTTATACCTTAAATGGGGAGAGGTAGAAAGCCTCATTCCTCGTCAGAGGAAATTGTCTCATGACAGCCTCCATGGTAGGTAGGGAGGTATGTGGGAAATGGCCTTGTATCAGCTCCTCACAAAACCTACCGCGCACTCATGTTCTAGGTGAGTTACAGCGCTTAGATAAGCTAGTGTTAAATCCTGGTCTGTGTGGCTCATATGAAATTATGCAAGTTGCCTGGCAGCCATGGTACAGTCATTCTTCTAAAGGAAGAGCTATTAAGTCTGTTAAGTCTCACCAAAGTGAGAACAGAAATGCGTAAAATGCCTTAGAAGACAGAAGCTTGTTTAGGTCTTTTGTTCTTCGGGGGCAGAAATAATGTCTTGTTCATCTTTGATTCTTTGGCACCTGACCTGACATAATCAGGTTTGCTGAATGAATGGTTATAAACACATAATTTCTTTAGAAATAAGGGAAGACTTTTATTTCTGGAAATATGAATGTGAACACTTTGGTCTCCAGCAATTACTGTCAGGAAATTTTATGTTATGTTAATAATACAAAAGAACAAGTAGAGCCAGCCAATTTTCAGAACTATTCATTCATCAGTAACTCTGCTAGATGCTAAGGATACAATGGTGATATAGTTGTTTATCTCTTGTCCCTCAGCCTGCCTCATACCAGCCATTCCCCATCCTGATCTGTAAGCGGAGTAGGGAGGCTACAAACATCATTTCCCAGGCTCCTACTGCCATTTGGAAGAACTTACAAAAGGAGGCAGCACAGGTTAAAGGTTTTAATGCTTTACTGAAATTGTAATACTCTACTGTAGTTTTAATGTTGAAACTATAGTATTGTGATGGCCAATTTTATGTGTCAACTTGACTGGGCCACAGGGTCCCCAGATACTTGGTCAAACATTATTCTGAGTGTTTGATTTTGGATGTGATCAATCATTACCTCAGTAGACCAGGTGAAGCAGATTCCCTTCCCTAATGAGGGTGGCCCTCATCTGATTAGTTGAAGGAAGAAAGAAAACAAAAAAGATGATGCTACCTCAAGGGGTACGCCTCTTGACCATCTTGAGCTGGGTCATCAGTCTTTTCTGGCCTTCAGGCTCAAACTAGAACACTGACTCTTCTGGGTCTTGAATCTGCTGGCCTTTTGACTGCTCACTCCGTTGGCTCTCCTACGTCTCTAGTTTGCAGATCGGAGAACCTGGGACTTCTCAGCCTCGATAATCATATGAACCAATTCCTTCCAATAAATAAAAATATATACACAAACACATATATATTATGTATAATATACATAAATCGATATTATAACTACAAATATATATGTATACACATACATACATATATAGACACAGACCCTATTGGTTCTGTTTCTCTGGAGAATCCTAATATATATTCAGAAAGTTTAGAAATCATGCAATGCATTTTTCTCAATTTAAGAATCCACCCAAACAAAGTAACCATATGGTTTACTACTATAATACAAATAATTTACATTAGGATTTGTTAGATTTGTGTCCCCTAGACCCCTGAAAACCTTGAAGGATCAAGCCTTGGAAACTGACATAAAAACAGGGACTTGGGTAGTTCTATAAAGGATTTTGGATGACGACTCAATTTCTACTAAACAAAATACATAAAGCAGGAGATAATATATCACAATGCCCAAATCATTAACTATAAAAGGTGACCAGAAAAATCTCTGAATTCCAGAGTCTTTAATTGATATTATAAATATGGAAGAGATTGCTGGTACCAGACACCAAGTGAGAAATGTGAGTAGATGCAATAATGAAAACCTATTTCTACAATAAGGAGAAGTGATGCTAACAAAAAAGGAACTGTCTTCCCACAATTGTCACACACATAAGGCTTTTCTCCCCAGTGTGGGTTCTCCGGTGTTTGATAAGTCCTGAGCAGTGACCGAAGGCCTTGCTGCATTGTTCATTTTGCTAGTGTGCTTCTCCTTATTGTAGGAATAAGGTGAAGCGCTAACATAAAAGTTTGCAGCAAAACAGTCATTCCGAAATACTTTTGTAGAAACAATGCCACTGAATGTATACGTAATAAATACTAATTGTATAATGCTGACTAAAAGTTTTCTCACTTCAATTCACAAGACTAAAATTTTGACTATCATCCTGGGAAAAAAAGATGGTCTACAGTGTGTTTAACAAAAAGTAGATAGCCTGAGGAGTTAAATTAATGGTTAAAATAGTCATCATGAAAAACTGAGATGCTATTACCACAGAGGTGATTTAGGAATCAATGTATAAGAAGACCAAGACTTAGCAGGAATAAGTTTTACACAGTTTACAGTGTGTGTTGGGTGGTAGGCAGGATAGTGTCTATTGTTTTAGGAGACATTGGTTAGGCCCAGAGAACTAAGGGAACTAAGATACTGTGCATTAGAATATTTATCATTTTATTCTGACTTGATGATTGATTTTCATACTGACTGAATAGGAAAGTGTTTTCCTTAAACAGTAGCAACAGGGAAACATTAAAGAATGAAATTTGCTGGGCCTGCTCTGGCTGCTCAGCTGACCTCTCCATTTACCTTCTGATACCTGGACATCCCTGCCCTGTTCAGCCCCATAGCTCCCAACTGTTTGGTTTCTGCTCCATGGTTAGGGCTCTGACAGCTCCTTTGAATAAACCAGACACCCTCCCCCCCCACACACACACACAAAAAGAATGAAATTTGGGCTGGGTATGGTGGCTCACACCTGTAATTCCAGTACTTTGAGAGGGTGAGGCAGGATTGCTCAGGATGTTGAGACCAGCCTGGGCAACATAGTGAGACCCCATATTTAAAAAAAAAAAATGCAGTTCCATGGATGGTACACATTCATAATGATTTAGTGATAAGCTGTTTAAGGCATTTGCACCAGAACAGAATTCCTAGTCTGGTAAAGAAATATCCCGGTGGCTCACGCCTGTAATCCCAACACTTTGGGAAGCCGAGGCAGGTAGATCATGAGGTCAGGAGATCGAGACCATCCTGGCTAACGCAGTGAAACTCCGTCTCTACTAAAAATACAAAAAAACTAGTCAGGCATAGTGGCACGCACCTGTAGTCCCACCTACTCTGGAGGTTGAGGCAGGAGAATCGCTTGAACCCGGGAGGTGGAGGTTGCAGTGACCCGAGATTGTACCACTGCACTCCAGCATGGGCAACAGAGGGAGACTCCCGTCTCAAAAAACGAAAGAAAGAAAGAAAAACAAATATGGATTCTTTCTATCACAGAAACCCTGCCATTACCTCTGCTCTGCCTCTGTACTTGGCAAAAAAATGCACTAGATTGAGTAACACTCTGGGTCACAGAATTAGACACAAGCACAAATGGCCTTGGTGAGTTCTTTAGAAACCTGGATAACATCAAATTTTCAGAGATATTAAGGTAATCTCACTGGTACATTCAACAAACATTTATTAGCACCTGTGGAAAAGGCACAGAGGGGAATATAAGACTGTGAATCTGACAAACTGGAGGATTCATTAGAGTCAAAGAGAATGGTCAGAGAAGCAGCCCCCAACTCACAACCATCTACCCAGTAGACATCACAAAGTACTGGATTAGGGCAAGCAGCCAGTCTAAACATCCCATTAATTACAATGGGAGAGAACAAACCATTTCAGGTCTTACCTCTTCTAGACAACTTTCCCATAGTCTCCTATCAAGTATGTTTTGATTCCAAACACCTTCTAGAATTTAGAAGATAATTCATCTAACCTAGTCTATATTTTCTAACACCTGATAATGTGTAGCAGTAAATGAAGCCCAGTCCACAATTTCTATAATCAAGACTCCAGGGTGAGTGGCTTCAGATCGGTCACAAATGAGCACCGACTCGCATGGACGGCGTGGTCACTGTGATAGGATGTTTCTCCCTGCGTGGCTTCTCTGATGTTGAACAAGGTATGAGAGTCGGGTGAAGCCTTTTCCACATGCGTTACACTGATAGGGTTTCTCACCAGTGTGGATTTTTTTATGTTCAATGAGGCCTGAATTCTGAGTGAAACTTCTTTCACACTCATTACATTTGTAAGACATGGGAGTTTCAACATTTTCCAACTGGCTTTCCATCCTACTTTTCCAGGCATCTCCCTGCTCAGGTTCCTGAACATTTCTATCCCCAGTATGAATCCTCTGATGTCTCAGGAGATGTGAACTTCGCCTAAAGGCTTTGCCACACATGTTACACTGATATGGCTTCTCCCCAGTGTGGATTCTGTGATGTTCAAGGAGGCTGCAGCTCTGGCTAAAGGTCTTCCCACAGTCATCACACTCGTAGGGCTTCTCCCCAGTGTGGGTTCTCTGGTGTTTGATAAGGTCTGAGCTGTGACTGAAAGCCTTGCCACATTCTTCACACTCATATGGCTTCTCACCAGTGTGGACTCTCTGATGAATGACGAGGGCAGAGCTCCCAATGAAGGCTTTGCCACACTCCTCGCATTCGTAGGGTTTCTCGCCAGTATGGATTCTCCTGTGTTTACTCAGGCCAGAACTTTGAGCAAAACTCTTTCCACATTCATGGCACATGTGCCGCCTCCCTCCTGTGGCATTTTTCTGCTTTCTTTGTAACCTGCCCTCCTGTTCACCAGCTTCTGCACATGTAGGAATCTGGGCAATGTCTTCACTCAGGTGGCACGATATCTTCCCATGCTCCTTTTTTGGAAGCTCCTCGGCTGGAGGCAAGTCCCTGCTCTTAGTCTGTATTTCACCACCTGAAACAACAAATGGCCGGCAACTGTGGGTTACACCCTGCCCTGGGAGGAAAGTTGTGTGATGAGTGCCAGGGAGGCAAGAATGACAGAGGTCTACAAATGCCCGGGATGAGGATTTAAGTGCTAGAATAAGGATGGGAACAAAAAGGAAAAACAGAGTGCTGGGGAGGAGGGAGACCTGAGAATGGGAATGGGCCACTGGAAGGGTACAAACAGGGAGTGGAAGGATCCAGGACTATGCTAGGGATATATGTGGTCATTCTAAGCTCTATGAATGGTAAGGCAGGGCCATGCACCTAGGATTAGATGCTAAAGGGGTTGAACAGAAAGTGACAGTAAATGGGGCAAGTGGAAGGATTTCTGAAATATCTTTGAGAAAAAGCAATTGGGAGGCTAAAGCTGACAGATCACTTAAGGTCAGGAGTTCAAGACAAGCCTGACCAACATGGTGAAACCCTGTCTCTACTAAAAATACAAAAATTAGCCAGGCATTGTGGCAGGTGTCTATAATCCCAGTTACTTGGGGGGCTGAGGCAGGAGAATCGCTTGAACATGGGAGGCAGAGGTTGTAGTGAGCCGAGATCACGCCACTGCACTCCAGCCTGGTTGACAGAGTGAGACTCCATCTCAAAAAACAAAAACAAATGAAACAGTGAAAGTAGAGACTCAGAAATTGGGCACTGATCAATGAACAATATAGACAGTTTTCTGTGCTCATATCCCAGGCAGAGGCAAGGTCCCCAAACAGAATTGGATTCAGTGCCGGGAGATCTGTGCCACCAATGAGTTCTGTGGCCTCAGACAAGTCAGACAATCTTTTCAGCCTCTGCACCCTCATCTCTGAGGTCAGGGTCTATAGTCAATGTCTAAAGACCCTTCTAACTCTCACACTCTATGGTCCCAAGGCCCATTTCCTGAAGAGAGCCCCCAGATTTCCTCTTCAGTTAGGGATAGGAACAGAAGGACATCAACATTTACTGGGCATCTCCTATGAGCCAGACCTGTACTTGGGGTTGTATCGACTTCAACCCATTTAACTTAACTAGAATACTGATAGGGAGAGGAGAAAGCAAGGTCAGAAGGGGTAAGCAGGCTGGGTGCAGTGGCTCATGCCTGTAATCTCCACATTCTGGGAGGCCAAGGCAGGAGGATTGCTTGAGCCCTGGAGTTCGAGACCAGCCTAGGCAACATAGCAAAACTCTATCTCTATAAAAAATAAAAATTTAAAAAATTAACCAAGTGTGGTGGTCCATGACTGCATTCCCAGCTGTTTGGGAGGCTGTGGTGGGAGGATCACTTCAGCCGAAAAGGTCGAGGCTGCAGTGAGCCATGATTGTGCCACTGCACTCTATCCTGAGTGACTGAGTAAGACCCTATCTCTCAAAAAAAAAAAAAAAAAAAAAAAAGTAAGGAGCTGGTTAGTAACAGGCTTTCAGAAATGGTGATTGTGAATTCAAACATAATACAGCTCAACAGGTTCTAATACACAAAGAATGCCATGAAACCTTAAGAGGAATTAGTGTCCTTCAGTCTTACCCAGGGAGACCAGGCTGCCAAGGTTCTCCTGCTTTTCATCTCTACAGAGATTCACCTGAGATGAATCCTGCTGTGTCCATTCAGGGGTGAGGGTCAGGGCCACATCTTCCACTTTCAGCAACCCCTAAAGCAATAGGTAATCCCACTGAAGAAGGGGCTGACCAAAATGATGGAGTAGGGAAGATCTGGGAAGCACCCCAGCCCCACCCCTGCCAACAGCTAGTAATAAAACAGGAAAAGCCTCTTACGTGGGCACCTAAATGAAGTTATGATAAACAACCTCAAGATAGATGAGAAAATGCAAATCCCATCTGAGATCTGCATGGAGGATCTAGCATGGGGATAGAGGGAAACGGGGAGGGAGGAGTCCTCACAGGAAGCTCAACAGCAGTGAAAGGCATTGGGGGAGGGACAGGAGCTCCACCTCACCTGGGACTCTGGAGTAACCCTAGAAGCTACCACTGCATCTCCTCTGCAGTACCCTCCATGGGCAAACACAGGGACCTGGAGAACTAAGAAGGAAAGAAGCTCTGGAAGAGATGTACCCTGGCATTCAGCCTCCCTGCCTTGTGGAATCTAAGTCAAATATGTGGATTAACAGATTCCTGTCTCACTTGATTGAGCCCAGGAGTCTGAAGCTGCAATGAGCTATGATTGTGCCACTGCACTCCAGCCTGGGCAACAAAGCAAGACTCTGTCTCTCTAAATAAACAAATTCCTGCCAAACAAGTTTATACAGAGTATGCTCTTTTCCAAAATTCCCAGTCCCTACCAGCTCCAATCTTATGGCTAAAGATATCTGTGGTGCTCTGTAGATATATGAAAACAATGCAAAAAGGCAGAATCCTTGTTAGCATCAGTGAAATAAAAAAAACACAAAAACAGAAAAGCTTTTGATTTGAAGATCCTTTGAATTTTGCTAGTGATAGGAGGAAAAATTGGATTTTTAGTGAGTATGCCCTTAGTAACCGTTAGGGTGCTTTTCACTTTGGATTTGAAAAGTTAAGAGGAGTCAGACAAAGCTGGGCTATGAAAGGCAGAAATAAGGGCTGACTTTTACAACTTGCTAAAATTCAAGAGAGAGAAAAGTAAAGGACTACAGGTTTCCTTATTATTCCTTATATAACTTCAGGAAGAAAATTTTGATCCTGACCAACTGGGTGAAACCCCGTCACTACTAAAAATATGAAAATTAGCTGGGCATGGTGGTGCGTGCCTGTAGTCTCAGCTACTCGGGAGGCTGAGGCAGGAGAATCGTTTGAACCTGGGAGGTGGAGATTGCAGTGAGATCATGCCACTGCACTCCAGCCTGGCGACAGAGCAAGACTCCATCTCAAAAAAATAAAAAAGAAAAGAAAATCCTTACCTCTGTCTTGCAAGGGTTGGGATCCCAGAGCCTTCATTAGCTGAGCTTGGCTACTTTGTGACTCTGGGGATGGTGGCAACAGTGCCATCTTGCAACAGGGAAGCTCTTGCCCCTGGTCAACACCTGGAACCTAGAAATCATTTATTCTTATTTTCATTTATTCATCAAACACTTCCACAGTACCATCTATGTGGCTGGCACTGTTTCCAAGAGTATTATAAATGTTATCTAATTTAACGCAGAAAATAACAATCTTATAATGGAGGTACTATTGTAACACCCATTTTACTGACAAGGAAATTAAGGCACAGCTAGTTTAAGTAGCTAAGAAGTGGCAATGGTAGGATGGGAGCTCAGGTAGAATGATGCCAGAGCACATGTTCTTACCATTACTCTATGCTCCTTCATATATACATTTGTGCTTTTATGAAAATCCTTTGGAAACCGTGCAAAATTCTCAGAGAATGTTAATACCTTTTATTGTCTGAAAAGGGGATGACAATCTCTAGTTTATGGAGTTTGGGGGACCCAAATAAGATCAGAGCATGTGAAATCACCTAATACGGCCTGACATATGGTATGTCCTCATTAAATGCAGGCTTCCTTCCAGATATTTATAATACTATACAATTACAGTTTTCAAGTTAGTTTCTCATGTGCAGCTCAGAATTTCCCACATCCTTTATGAAGAATGAAGCTAAGAGACTTGCAATGACTTCCCGCTATTACAGGGCTCGGGTGTGATAGACCCAAGCCAAGAACCTTGGTATCCAGCTCTCTAGTTAGAAGGCTCTGGCCACACAGGTCCTCTGAGGTGTGTGCACAGGGACACATGATGATGCAAAGAAGAAACCATCTCATAAAACAGGGAAGGAAATGGAGGTAGAAATCGGCCCACTTTATACCAGAGGTCCATCATAACCAGTGGTCCATGAACTCCTTCCCACGTAGTCCATGAACTTGAATAGGACAAAAACTAATCTTATTTTTTACTGGTCTTTAAAAGAGAGTTAGCATTTCTTCAGTTACAAATGGAAGCAACAAATCAAGGTAGCATAAGCAGTACCCAGGTCTACCTCACCAATAGAGCCTGCACATGTTTTCACATCACATTACAACCAGGCAAAAGGGTACTTATCACTGCTTTGCGATTGCCAGTTATAAGGCCTGTCCCTAGGTCACATTATTTAGTGCAGTAATAAAAAACACACGTATGACTTTAATACAAATTTAATACAGTGCTAACTGTATGTTATGACTGCATCCTTTGTAATTCTTTATGGTTTATGTATTTTAAAAAAATTATTCTGAGGAGTCCAGGGACTTCACCTTACTGCCAAGGAGGTTCATGGTACAAAAAGAGATGGAGAACTCCCGGATCTTAAGGGGATGCCCCTCACTCGATCTTCAGATGTCAGGAGGAAACGGACCACAGCGCTGAGATACTAAACCTGTTCTTTCTACCTGCGGTGCCGGCTCATCCCGCCGCCTCTCCAAATACTCCAGCAGCAGCACCACCTCCTCCCCGCTCTCTGGATGCTGCTCCCGCACCCAGCTCTGCACGTTCCCCGGCAGGATGGTCAGGAACTGCTCCAGCACCAGCAGCTCCAGGATCTGCTCCTTGCTGTGCATCTCAGGCTGCAGCCACTGTCGGCAGAGCTCTCGGAGCCGGCTCAGCGCCTCGCGGGGGCCTGCAGCCGCCGGGAAGCGGAAGCCTCGGAAGCGCTGGCGCGAGCGTTCAGCACCCAAATCCAAACTACTGGGAAAACCGGCCTCTTCTTCCTCCACCTTTATGACCAGAAGCTCCGTCTGGTCTTCTGTAGACTGGGCGTCCAGGGCTGCTCTTTCACTAAATTCTCTAGCCATCCTGGGCCAAGGCAGTCCTCAGGCCTCACTCCAGCTTCCAGGGCTATTTCTGCAGATCCCTGGAAGGTGGGAAGTCATTATTAACCAGTAAACATGCAAGTTGTCCCCTCTCTCCTGCTCAGGAGCCCAGAGACCTCGCTGAGGAACTGCTGCAGAAGTTTCTCCATGTTCAATGCTTCCGCAGCTTAATCCTCTACACCACCCATGCCTGAATCCCACAGTAAGGTTCCCAAAGGATGTCCTGGGGTGATCCCGGACACCCCCAAACCCTGACTAATCAGGAAAGAAAATGAAAGTGGTGAGGATCCAGGGGACTTCCTGGACTCTCTAGGCAGCCCCTCGCAGCAAAATTGTCCAGAGTTAACCCATTAACAATCAGGTCTGGGTTGTCCAAATTCTAAGATGACCCTAATTTCCTGCCCCAATCCTCAGGACTTTGAAAATGAGATAGCAAGTCCAGACTGACTGGACTGATCCCAAGGAGCTAAATTCTACTGACAATCTCAATGACCTTATAAACAGATTCCTCTCAGAGCTTCCAGATAAGACTGCAGCCCTACCAACGCGTTGGCATTGGCCTGGGAAGACCCTAATATTGAACCCAGCTGAGCCTGCCTGGCCTTCTGACCTATAGAACTGGAACAAATAAACTGGTTTTTTTGTTTGTTTGGTTGGTTGGGTTTTTTTTTTTTCTTTTTGCTTCTTTGTTTTGAGATAGAGTCTCACCTTGTTGCCCAGGCTGGAGTGAAGGCATGATCTTGGCTCACTGCAACATCTACCTCCCATGTTCAAGAGATTCTCCTGCCTCAGCCTCCTAAGTAGGTGAGATTATAGGCATGCACCACCACGCCCAGCCAATTTTTGTATTTTTAGTAAAGATGGGGTTTTGCCATGTTGGCCAGGCTGATCTTGAACACCTGACCTCAAAAGATCTGCCTCAGCCTCCCAAAGTGCTGGGATTAAAGGCGTGAGCACTGCACCCAGCCCAGATTTTGTTTTAAGCTGATAAATTTGAGGCAAATGTTATACAGCAACAGAAAACTAACACAGTTGATACCATATCTGCAGGTTCTACATCCATACATTCAACCAGCTGGAAAATATCTGGGGGGGGGAATATAACAAAAACAACAATTAAAAAAAAACACACGAAAATACAAAATAATAAGTATTTACAAAGCATTTCTATTATATTTGGTTTACGAGTAATCTAGAGATGATTTAAACTGTACAAGAGAAGCTGAGCCTGGGGCACACTACTGCAGTCCCAGCTACTCAGGAGGCAGAGGCAGGAGTACCACCTGAGCCCAGGAGTGCAAGGGTGCAGTAAGCTATGATTGTGCTACTGTACTCCAGCCTGGGCAATAGTGTGGAGACCCCATCTCTTAAAAAAAATATGCAGGAGGATGTGTGTATGTTGCAGGCAAATACTATATACCATTTTACGTAAGACTTGAGCATCCACAAATTTTTGTATCAGTGGGGATCCTGGAATCAATCCCCCACGGATAGTGAAGCATAGCTGTATCAGGTCTTATCTGTGGTCAAGGTACTGCAGTAAGGGGAAGAAGAAAGAAAAGATAGAAGGCCCTAGACCAAAAGAAATAGGACTGAATTAACAAACCTTGGCCGCCTGCTAGTGAGACCATCAGTTATATCTGATGTAAGACTTGTCCAAAAAACTGGCATAATACTCATATTAAAATTCAGCTAAAAATCGAGTTTCTCCAGACTCTTATGATCTCTGGGCTGGAGGCCCTTTAGTTTCTCTCTGAAACATCAAGAAAGCAGAAAACATCACCCAGCCCTTGCCCTAGAGAGAGCACAGGCTGCCCCTGGTCTTTGCCACCTCCTCAATCTGCCACTCTCTTTCTTCCCCTTCAAGACCAGACTTCTTGAAAGAAAGCCCTCAGTCCCTGATTCTAGTCCTCACCTCCCACTAAGCCTTCCACACATTGTAGCCTGCAAACGGCCAACATCACTAAGATTCTGCCCGCAGAAGTAACCAAAGGTGCTTCCCTCGATTTCCATTTTCCATGGCCTCTTCTCAGGCAGCTGGGCTGAAGATACTGCCTACTTCCAGAAACTCACTCGTCCTTGATTCCTCCTTCCTCGTTCTTCTCAGCTCCCATCATAATCTGGTTACTGTTCTGAAGCCAGGTCTCCTGAGGTCATTATAATCCTGGCTTTACTACCTACTAGCTCAGTGCCTCCCTTTTTTAATCTGTAATAGGGATAGTGACAGCAAATAGAGCCATTGTAAGCATTAAGTAAGTGACTGTATAAAGTTCTTAGCACAGTGCCTGGTGTGTGGTTGTAAGGAACATGGCTGTGTTGCAGCCAGGCAGGCCTAGGCCAAGGTCAATAGCCTGCATGACTCAGCAGGACTGGAGTGCAGGCACACAATTTCATGCATTCTATAGTCACAGCTATGTAGCCATAACACGGGAGTCTCATCCCCTGGCTCTGAGCCACTGTTGTCTGTGAGCTGTACAAATGCGGCACCGACACTATGGAAGAGCTGCTGAATGAAGCCATGTCCCATCTACCTGCTGTCTCTTGAGTGTTCTTCCAGCTCCCTGCCCCAAATCCACCCACTCCCCTCGGACCTCAGCTGGGGCTTGACCCTGACATTTCGTATAGTGGGCAGGATGAGGTGAGCGGCTCTTCAGCCCCCAGGCTCCCGGACCAGCTATGCAGCCTCAGCATGAGCTGTGGAACCCAATGGCAGCCGTGCTGTGAGGATGGGCTCTGGTGGAAACATGGGCCATAGTGGGTAGGTCCTCCATGAGTGTGGAGAAGATGCTGAAGCACCTAGAAGTGCACAGCATGGAGAAGGAGAATACCTATGCCAGCAGAGTCAGATGGGCATTTGTGACAAGTGCCTGACCAGTCCCTGCTGGACACAGCACAGGGAGGAGGAAGAACCTCCATTATAAGCTCACCCAGTGGTCTGCCAGACAACAGAGCACGAACAGCCACTGGGTCCCAAGGGTGGGCCCAGGGACTCCCAACCGTGGGGAAGCACCGTCATGTAGTGCTTGTACCCCCACTGAGTTGCGGGAGTTAGGCAAGCAACATCAGCAGCACCTGGGGGAGGCCCTCCCTGCCTGAATTCTCTCTCTCTGGGACAAAGGAGCTGACCTATTTCCTGCTCAACCTCTGAGATGGATGAGCAGGTTTCTTTAATTACAGTGTGGACTGATGCCGATGAATTACCAAAAACTGTCAGTAGATGTCAATTGTATACAGGCTTAGTGCAAGTCATTCGGGAAAAGGGCATTGCTGCATGACCAGAGCGTTCCAGCTCAAAGATTACTTGCTGCAATCAGGCAGAAATGTAAAGCCTTTCCTGTTTGATTGGGAACTGGCCAAGGTGCCCAGCTTGCAGAGGACATCGGATAACCAAAGGCTGTATGTGGACTCGGCAATCCACCGGTCCCTAAAACCGAGCAGAGCTCCAGGCAGAACTGCATTTACTGATGGTTGTGAAAGCCGATCAGTGAAAGTGAAACCTGGTTCTTTGCACCTTGGCATCAGCTGCTTGGCTCCCACCTGTGCACCATGTATGCCTCTCCCATGCCTGAGGACATTCTGGAGATGGATGCTTTGCACAGCTTGGCAGCTGTGCTATCATAGATTTGATAGACCACTTGACAACAGAACTGGCATGGTGCCACTGTATGGTGTGCTTGACCAATGCATTCCCCTTAATTGTGATCACTCCAGAGAGCCAGTCTGTCGTCATGGGAGGACGACAATGGATATTCTTAGTGTTACTGCAGGGCTATATGCATAGCCCCATTATATGTCATGGTCTTATTAATGACGTTATGTTAACCTCTGATTCTCTTGCAGATTTAGAAGCAGGAATGCCCCTCTTGCCTGGGATTGGGATGATGCAGCTGAAACCACCTTCCTGGCAGCTAAACAGGCTTTTCAGCAGGGACAAGCCCTCAGGTAGCTGATCAGGAACACCCATTTAAACTTGATGTGCATGTTACCATAGAGAGTTTTGACTGGGGCTTCTGGCAGTGCACAGAGCACTTTAGAATGCCAGTAGACTTTTGGTCCCAACTTTGGAAGGGAGCTGAATGCTGGTATTCCTTGACAGAGAAGCAGCTGGTAACTGCATAGGCTGCCTTTTAGGCTCAGGACAGCATGGCAGGATGGGCTACAGTTGTTGTGTGCATGACTTACCCAACAGCAGGGTGCGTACACTCATGGTTAACAACCCACACACTGGGATGGCACAGACATCCAGTTTTGCAAAGTGGGGTGCCCACGTGGAACAGCGAAGTATGCTAAGTCAAGTCCCTTAGCAGCACAATTACAAGAAGGACCTACAGTCCTGATAAAAGATAAGGCCATGGGACCTGAGGCACCCCTAGACCCTGAGCCTTCACTGTTTAAGGAAGGGCATCCCCGCATTCCCACTGGGGTGTGGTACACAGATAGGTCTAGCTGGGGTGTTGCAGTCCAGCCTAGTACTGACAGCTTATGGTTTGATAACAGGTGTGGACAAAGTAGCTAATGAGCTGCTCAGGGCAGTGTGAATGGTGATCACTAAGAAGGTGATATTTACGGTAATCTGCACCAATAGCTGGGCAGTTTATCAGGCTTAACCTGTGGCTAACTACCTAGAAGTTACACAAGTGGCTAGTCACTGACCCACGTAAGGCCAGGCCACGTGGCCAGACCTATGGGAGAAAGGATGATTTCCTCCGACCAGGTATGGGGACAAACAGAAACCTGTTTTTGCCTGCCCCAACACCACTAAAGGTAGGGAAACAAAAAACTGGCTTAATATATAAAGCAACATTGGGGTAACATCATCATGGGGTGGTTGCCTGCCATAACCTGAAATGATTGCTTCTTGTATTACTACTGTGGCCTGAGTGCCCAGAGCTTATGTGTCAAGACTGTGTATGTATCAGCCCTGGGTGCCCAAAGCTTATATGTCAGGCCTGTGTGCCAAAAACTTATGTCTCCCTTGGCCTGGGGGTGGAGTGTAAGGTAAATGGATATGCTTTGGTCAAGAACAGGGCGAGGCAGATATCCAGCCCAGCATGACTCAGCAAGTTTGGAACGAAGGCGCACCACTCCACTTGTTATGTAACCTGTTTGTGTAAGCTCATACTTGGCTCGGAGCCACTATTGTCTGTAAAAGATATAACTGCCCTGCTGACGCTGTACATAGGGCTTGCGTCCAGAGAGAGAGAAATTGCTGACCATGGAAGGGAGAACTGGCTGCTTTGCAGACAGACGAGGGTGAGCCAGGAACTAACAAGCTTGCCAGGGAATACAGCTGTTGAGTGTGGGAGCGGCAGGAGGCCCATAGCCGGTTGCCGAGAAGGGCTGCAGCCTCAGAGGAGGCAGCTGAGACAGATGCAGACAATGTGAGGGAGCTGCAGCTGCTGCTGCTGAAGAAAATCACATTTCACCTGCCTACAGCTCCCTGTGTGTTCTTTCTGTTATCTGCCACCCATCCACCAGCTCTCCTTGGACCTCAGCATGGGCTGGAACCTGACAAATGGTACGACAGTGGTAAGTACATATAGATGTGGGCTAACAGTATCATTAACTGGTCTTTCTTCTTTTAAATAAGAGTAGGCCTGGTGGTTCTGTTCTTGACCTTTTCTCTCTCCACAATCTTCTCCAGAACTCTCGTTAATCAATTGCAAGGTTTAAGTTCTATTTCTAGGCTGTAGACTCCTGACCCCTATCCTGAGCTGCCTCCCATACAGTCCTATATGGAAACTGTGCAAACAAATCCAATTCAATATGCCCCAAACCAAACTGATTTTCTTGCTTCCTAATCCACTCCTTCCTCAGTATGGTATTCCCTACAAACAACAGGACCAGCCACCAGGCTCCCTCAGAGTCATCACTGTGTAATGGATTATTTTCACATTTTAGGAGGGAAAAGTAAGATATTCTGGAAGAGAGCCTATCCCAGAAGCCATGAGACCTGGGCCTGCCCTAAGAGGGAAGGGAAACCTGAGATTCCTATGAACCATCTGGACTAGATTTTAAACTAGAAGTGAGTGACTGCAAAATTATTTGACTGGACTCAGGTGTCAGTACATTCCTCCTTACTCAGTGGAATGGAGAGGCTACAAAATGTAAGGCTGGGCCGGGCACAGTGCTCACGCCTGTAATAAAAGCACTTTTCGAGGCCAAGGCAGGTGGACCAAGAGGTCATAAGATCGAGACCATCCTGCCCAAAATTATGAAACCCCGTCTTTACTAAAATAACAAAAATTAGCTGACCATAGTGGTGCATGCCTGTAGTCCTAGCTACTCGGGAGGCTGAAGCAGGAGAATTGCTTTAACTCAGGGGGCGGAGGTTGCAGGGAGCCAAGATCGCGTCACCACACTCCAGCCTGGCGACAGAGCGAGATTCCGTCTCCAGATGGATAGATGGATGATGGATGGATGGATGGATGGATGGATAGATAGAAACTGTAAGGCTGGTACAGAGAGTAGAGGTTACAAAGGGAAAAACAAATTGCAAGTATGTATCTTCCTGAGTCTCTATTCCTCAGTCCAACTCTCTACAGTTCCAAGGACCAGGGAATAGAAGGAAATTAGGAAACCGAGAGAACCCACTGACTGTTACAAATGAAAAGTACCAGAAAATACTTCTCCTAATAAGCTGCCACAAGAGATCTGGGGTACTGCTACACGAGCTAATAATACCAAAATAAGTGAGCCTAAATCTAATCCAGTCTTTAGATCCAAAAACCAATGTACAGGCGAAATACAGAAGAAAATTACATTAAAGGCTTTCAAACTTTGTTATATATTAGAATCACTGGGGAGCTTTAAAAACATCCTAATGCCTTGCATATAATCAAGATCAATCAGGCCAGGGCAGTGGCTCACCCTGTAATCCCTGCACTTTGGGAGGCCGAGGTGGGTGGGTCACCTGGGGTGAGGAGTTTGAGACCAGCCTGCCAATATGGTGAAACCCTGTCTCTACTGAAAATACAAAAATTAGCTGGGCATGGTGGTGCACACCCAGTTACTTGGGAGGCTGTGGCATAATAATTGCTTGAGTGTGGGAGGTGGAAGTTGCAATGAAAAAAAATCAATTAAATCACTCTCTCTGGGGGTGGGACTCAGCATTGGTAAGTTTTAAAACTTTCTGGGTGATTCTAATGTGTAGCTGAGTTTGAGAACTAATAAGTGAAACATACTAAAAAGAAGCAATCAACCAAATCCAGAATGTGACGCATTTTATAAAACAGAAGGTTCATGTTCTTCAACAAATAAATGGCATTTTTACCAAAAGGAGTGGGAGGGAATGGGAACTGTCACAGATTAGGAGACTGAACAGACTTATCAAACACAGGCAAATGGTGAACCATATTTGGACCCTACTGAAAAAAACACTGTAAAAAGACTGTTAAAAACTGTAAAAATGTTTGAGACAATTATTTGAAAAACAATATAATGATATCAAGGAATTACTGTCACTTTCATTGCATGTGATAATGATAATAGGGTTGTATTAAGAGAAAAGTCCTGGGATATAAGAAATTAACACTGAAGTACTTGCACCTGTGAGTGAACTAAAATGTTCCCATCTGCAATTTGTTATAAAATGAGAGAGAAGGAGAGATGGAATGAAGAAAAAAAAAAGAAAGAAAGAGGGCGAGAGGGAGGGAGGGAAAGGAAGACAAAAAAGGGAGGAACAGGGAAAGAAAGGAGAGAAGGAAAGAGGGAGGAAGTAAAATGGAAGGAGGGAGATGGGAGGGTGGAGGAAAAGGGAAGAAAAGGAGGGAAAAGAAGATGAAAGAAAATGACCAAAAGATGATGGCTGAAGCTGAGTCATGGGTTTATTGGTATTCACTGTAATATTCTCTCTACAGTTAAATGTGTTTAAATTTCTCCCCCAAATTTTAGAAAATTAAAGTCCTACCTTCTTTCCTTCCTGAAAATACAGTCAGTAAGCATTAAGGTAGGGTCAAGGAAGGTGAGAGAGAGCCATAGCCCAACCCAGAGTGAATCTGGAGCCCAAGTGGAATGGGGAGGGTGTCCACGGGGCGGGGAGACGAGAAAGTCTATGGCAGGTAAACAACACTGATACATTTTATCATTTATTCCACAGACTTCATTTAGATTTCACTACCTGGCCCCTATTTGGATCTGAGCCAAACTGATCACAGTTGGGAGGCACAAGAGTAGGAAATCCGTTGCAAACATAAATTATTTATCAAATCAGTAAATATACTAAAGATCGAAAAAGCAAAGTTTCTCTATCAGAAAAGAGTTACAAGTCTAGAAAAGAGAGTTCACCCTGTAAAAGTTGGGTTGAAATGAAGGCTGTTAGTATGAAGCCAGTTTCAGGCTAGGACGCTCCTGGAAGCTCAGAAACTGGTCGATCTCCAGCACTAAGCAGGACAACAGACTTCTGCTAAAACCAGGGTTCCTAGTCCTTTTTCACTGTTAAAAACTTCTATTGTTCCTCCTAATCTCCAGCCAAGAAAACCGTACCCCTGAGTCTTAAAGCCTTTGAGAGTTTGAGTATCACCATGTAGAACACAAACCAGTTTTGGTCTTTGCTTTGCAATAGGCTCTTTTTCAGAGGATCTTATTTTTCCCTCCTAAAATATAGAAATCATCCAATACAAAGTGAATTGATGAATGACACTAAAATTCAAAGCAACGGTAACAAAACTTAGTCCCTAAGATAATGCGTCATGATAGGTATAAATAATAGTAGTAGTAATAATAAAAGCAAATACCTTAAATCATGCTTATTCGGCACCTTACACATATTAATGCACTCAACCCTCACAACAACCCAGTGAGTTAGGTAATATTATCCCCATTTTACAAAATAGTAAAATGAGGCAGAGAGAGGTTAGGGACTCGTAAAAAGTCACACAGCCAATAAGTGGCAGAGGCAGGATTCGAACCAGGTAATCTGACTCCAACGTTCTGGCTCTTGGCCAGTACCACAGAATAATTTAAAGACCCTGAAACTGACCTTGTCACCAGGCAGTGCAAAAACGTAACGGCTCCCATTTTCAAGGCTTGTCTATGTGACCCATGCATCCCGTCTCCAAAATACCCTGAGGAACAGACTGAGGCACCCAGGAACGGCTCTAAACAAGGGACACCCATGGTGGGCTCTACGCGGGGCGCGGCGCACCACTTAGTCCCGCCGCAGGGCGCCCTTCCCCCCACGGCTTCTCGCAGCGTCTCCGTCCTCGGGGGCCGAGGCTGCGGGAACCGGGGGGAAGGGCCTCCCTCCTCAAACTCACACACACCTGCAAACGCACCTCTACCCGGGACAAAAGAATGGCAGGACCCACAGGAGGAGAGCCCCAGAATGAGACTTAACCCCGCAATGGAAAGCGGACGCCCAATCGGCGCCCCCTACTCACCCCATACTCACAAACTGCCCGAAACTAGCAAACCCCCGCGGGGCGGGGCGCAGAAGCCACTTCCGGGCCGCTCTAGCCACGGCCCTGGCCGACTCTGTCGTTTGCGAGCTCCGCACCTCGTGTCCCCTCCCCTTTTGCTATTAAAGAGACTTTAAAATGTTTATTTTGCCAGCTATACCAAAGGGAGAAAGGCAAAGTGCAGAACTCTTTCCATAGTTTGCTATATTTGCGAATAGAAGAGGGTAAAAAGAAACTAAATTATGTTTGTGTGTGTGGCACAAAGAAGCCCTGGAAACATAAATTGGAAAATTAATAATGGTGGTCACCTGTGTGAGGTGAACAGTAAGAAACTGAGAAGGACAAGAGTGAGAAGGCAAGTGTTATGGTGGAAGTTTTAAATGTGCTTTTTAGAGTTGATTGCATTATCTAATTAAAATATTAATTCTAAATACTTTTAAGGAGCATGCTGCGAGGTTTACATAGAAAATCCAAGATAATCTAACACTCAAATTATATTAATTAATAAAAGAGTTGGCCGAGCGCGGTGGCTCAAGCCTGTAATCCCAGCACTTTGGGAGGCCGAGGCGGAGGGATCACGAGGTCAAGAGATCGAGACCATCCTGGTCAACATGGTGAAACCCCGTCTCTACTAAAAATACAAAAAATTAGCTGGGCATGGTGGCGCATGCCTGTAATCCCAGCTACTCAGGAGGCTGAGGCAGGAGAATTGCCTGAACCCGGGAGACGGAGGTTGCGGTGAGCCGAGATCGCGCCATTGCACTCCAGCCTAGGTAACAAGAGCGAAACTCCGTCTCAAAAAAAAAAAAAAAGAGAGTTTACCAAGGTTGCTGAACTTTTTCAAAATTCATATTCACAACATTTTCCATCAAAATTATAAAAGTACAATTTTTAAAAGACACTTATTACAGAAGAAAAGAAATGCAAAACATACCTGAATGGAAACATTAGAAACTTTATTCATTAAGGATAAGCAGTTGAAATATATGCCATGTCCATATATATGCGAACTCAGTATCATAAAGATATCATTCCTTCCTAAATTATTACATAAATTCAGCACAAAGCAAATCAATATTCAAACTGTGCTCAGTGGAACTTGACTAGTTGATTTTAAATTTATATGGAATAGTGAAAGAGTGATGAATCTAAGACATTTTTTAAACAAATGAAGGAGCTGCAGAAACTTGCCCTATATAATTTATTATAAATTTATAAGAGCTAAGACAAAATAGTATTGGCACAACTGTAGACAGACCAACAAAACAGAATTGAGGACTGAGCAACAAACATGTATGTTGGCTGCTTGATATGACAGAAACTGCACTACAAATCAGTGAAGAATAAAGGAGCTACTTGATAAATAGTACTGTGATATTTGGATAGCTAAATGGGAAAATAAAATAAAATTGGGTTTCTACTTTAGATGTTGAACAAAAAATCAATTCCAGTAAGCAAACTTTCACACTTTTAAAAGAAAATTTAGAATCATTCAAGCTTGTTAATGCAGCTCATAAGCTACTCCAACTCTTCTTTGTTTTTAGTGTTCCGTCAGCTCTCCAAATGAGGTAAGATACAAGCCAGTCCCTTGGGCCACCCTCCAAAGAGCCAAAACACAGGATGCATGCTCCAATCTTTTCTTTCTCCCAAGGAAGTAGTCACAAGCCAGGGCATTCTCTCCTAGCTCTGAGCTGTGCCCACTTTGGGGAAGGGCTGACATGAGTCCTATGGTTTGAAGTTTGTGTTCCCCCACAATTCTTATGTTTAAACTTAGTCCCCAAGGTGATGGCACTAAAAGATGAGGACTTGGGAGTGATTAGGTAATGAGAGTTCTGCCCTTATGACTGGGGTTGGTGCCCTTATAAGAAAAAGCTGGAGAGAGCCTATTTGCCCCATCTACCATAACAGGACACATAGAAGGCACCATATCTATAAAGCAGAGAGAAGCTTTCACTCTATGCCAAATCTGTACTGTCTTGACCTTGGACTTCTCAGCCTTCAGAACTGTGAGCAATGAGTTTCTGATGTTTATAAATTACTCAGTTTAAGGTATTTTGTTATAGCAGCCTGAATGGACTAAGACATTGTGTAAAGTGAAACTGTACTTCTTACACATTTCAATGTAGCTGTTTTGGCTTTAAGGTAACCTAGGGTACTGCAACTTTTATTTATTTATTTATTTTTATTTTTTTTTTATTTTTATTTTTTTTTGCGATGGAGTTTTGCTCTTGTTACCCAGGCTGGAGTGCAATGGCGCGATCTCGGCTCACCGCAACCCCCGCCTCCTGGGTTCAGGCAATTCTCCTGCTTCAGCCTCCTGTGTAGCTGGGATTACAGGCATGCGCCACCATGCCCAGCTAATTTTTTGTATTTTTAGTAGAGACGGGGTTTCACCATGTTGATCAGGATGGTCTCGATCTCTTGACCTCGTGATCCACCCACCTCGGCCTCCCAAAGTGCTGGGATTACAGGCGTGAGCCACCGCGCCCGGCCCAACTTTTAAAATTGATTCTGGAATTCCCATAAAGATATGTTGATCCATATACAATTGTTAATCAGTGTTTCTCTAGGGGAACAGGGCTAATACTTTCTATTCTGCCAACTTTCTGATGTCACTCCTAACCCAGAATTTTAAATCCAGTGGAATTGTTCTTCAAAAATAAGAGTGAAATAAAGATGTTTTCTATTAAATTAAAGCTGAAAGTACTTCTCCATCAGACTTGCATCTGCACTGCAAACCAACCAACCTAACCAAAACCAAAACTAAACCCTAAAGAAAAATGAAAAACTTCAGGCTGAAGGGAAGTGACAGCTGGAAACTCAAATCTACAGGAAGACATGAAGAGCATCAGAATGGTGAATATGTATGTAAATATAAAAGCCTTGCTTTTTAGTTAATTTTCTTAAAAAACAAGTGATCATTTAAAGCAAAAATATTTTAAGCTGGCAGTTATAATGTGCAGGTAAGTAAAATATATAAGAATAGCACAACAAAAGATGTGTATATTAGTTCGTTATCATGCTGCTATGAAGAAATACCCAAGGCTGGATAATTTATAAAGAAAGGGGGTTTAATTGACTCACAGTTCTGCATGGCTGGGGAGACCTCAGGAAACTTGCAATCATGGCAGAAGGAGAAGTAACATATCCTTCTTCACATGGCAACGGCAGAGAGAAGAATAAGAACCAAGCGAAGGGGGAAGCCTCTTATAAAACTATCAGATTTCATGAGACCTTACTATCATGAAAATAGCCTGGGGAAAACTGCCCCCATAATTCAATTACCTCCCATAGGGTGGCTCCCACCATATGTAGGGATTGTGGGAACTACAGTTTGAGATGTGGGTAGGGACACAGCCAAATGATATCATTCTTCCCCAGGCTCCTGCCAAATCTCATGTCCTCACATTTCACAACAAAATCATGCCTTTCCAACAGTTCCAATAAGTCTCAAGTCAACGCAGCATTAACCCAAAAGTCCAAGTCCAAAGTCTCATCTGAGAAAATGCAAGTCCCTTCTGCCTATGAGCCTGCAAAGTCAAAAGCAAGTTCGTTATGTCCTAGATACTATGGGGGTACAAGCATTGAGTACACAAACCCATTCCAAATGGGAGAAATTGGCCAAAACATAAGGGCTAAGGGCCCCATGAGAGTCCGAAATCCAATAGGGCAGTCATTAAAACTTAAAGTTCCAAAATGATCTCCTTTGACTCCATGTCTCACATTCAGGTCATGCTGATGCAAGACCTGGGCTCCCATGGCCTTGGGCAGTTCCACCCTTGCGGCTTTGCAGGGTACAGCCCCCTCCCAGCTGCTTTCATGGGCTGGCATTGAGTGTCTGCAGTTTTTCCAAGTGCAGGGTGCAAGCTGTCAGTGGATCCTACCATTCTGGGGCTGGAGGTTGGTGGCCCTCTTCTCACAGCTCCACTAGGCAGTGTCCCAGTGGGGACTCTGGGTGGGGACTCCAACCTCACATTTCCCTTCTGCACTCTCCTAGCAGAGGTTCTCCATGAGGGCTCTACCCCTGCAACAGACTTCTGTCTGAACATCCAGGCATTTCCATACACCCTCTGAAATCTAGGTGGAGGTTCCCAAACCTCAATTCTTGTCTTCTGTGCACTTGAAGGCCCAACACTACATGGAAGCTGCCAAGGTCTGGGGCTTCCACTTTCTGAAGCAATGGACTGAGCTGTACCTTGACCCATTTTAGCCATGGCTAGAGTGGCTGGGATGCAGGGCAGCAAGTCTTGAGGCTGCATACAGCAGGGGAAGACTGAACCCAGCCCAGGAAATCACCTTCCTCTCCTAGGCCTGAGACAGGCTGCTGTGAAGGTCTCTGACATGCCCTGGAGGCATTTCCCCCATTGTCTTGGTGATTAGCATTTGGATCCTCATTACTTATGCAAATTTCTGCAGCCAGCTTGAATTTCTCCCTAGAAAATGGGGGTTTCTTTTTTTATCATATATCAGGCTGCACATTTTCCAAACTTTTACGCTCTGCTTCCTCTGGAACACTGCTGCTTAGAAATTTCTTCCACCAGATACCCTACATCATCTCCCTCAAGTTCAAAGTTCCACAGATATCAAGGGCAGGGCAAAATGCCACCAGCCTCTTTGCATAGGAAGAGTGACCTTTACTCTAGTTCCTAAAGAGTTCCTCATCTCCATCTGAGACCTTCTCACCCTGGCCTTCATCCTCCATATCACTATCAGCAATTGGTCAAAGCCATTAAACAAGTCTCTAGGAAGTTCCAAACTTTCCCACATTTTCCTGTCTTCTTCTGAGCCAGCCAAACTGTTCCAACCTCTACCTGTTATCCAGTTCCAAAGTCACTTCCATATCTTCACAGCAGCACCCCACTATTTCCAGTGCCAATTTACTTAGTTTTTTCTCATGCTGCTATAAAGAAATACCCAAAAGTGGGTAATTTATAAAAAAAAAAAGAGGTTTAATTGACTCAATTCTGCATGGTGGGGGAGGTCTCAGGAAACTTACAATGATGGCGGAAGGGGAAGCAACATGTCCTTCACGTGGCGGCAGGA